AGGAACAGCCAAACAACTGAGCAGCAGGCTGCATGGGGCAACAAGGCTGGCAGGGGCGTTAGTGAGGGACTGCCAAACGACTGAGCAGCAGGCTGCATGGGGCAACAAGGCTGGCAGGGGGGTTAGTGAGGAACAGCCAAACAACTGAGCAGCGGGCTGCGTGGGGTGACCAGGCCAGCAGTGGGGTTAGTGAGGGACGACCAAACAACTGAGCAGCAGGCTGCAAAGATGGCGGCACCCTAAGCCAATAAGGAGGGAATATGCTAATTGAATGCCACACCCTCAAAGATGGCGGTGCCCACAGCCAATAAGAAGGGAATATGCTAATTGACTGCCAAACCCTTAAAGATGGCAGTACTCACAGCCAATAAGGAGGGCATATGCTAATTGACTGTCACGCCCTCAAAGATGGCAGTGCCCACATCCATAAGATGGCACCACCCAGGCTCCTCAGCCCTGCTGGGATGGCAGGCCTGCAGCAAGGCCAGGCCCACCCCCAGACAGGCCCGGCCGCTCTGCAAGCCTGCCTCCGGAGTCCCCCAGTCCCTTCAGCCCCCCAGTTGCCCAGGGCCGCCTGAGGCGCAGGTAACTAGGGCCGGCCGAGGCTTGTGCTGCCGGCAGTGGCAGCAGCAGAGGTGTGATGGGGCGTTGCCTTTCCCTGATCGCCTGGTCACCTCCCGCCCCTGAGGGCTCCCAGACTGTGAGAGGGGGCAGGCCGGACTGAGGGACCCCCCCCCCCCCCTCAGTGCATGAATTTTCATACACCAGGCCTCTAGTAATTGATATAACAATGGTTTCAGGTATAGTAACTAACTATTACACACAGGTGTTTTATAGTTGACATAGCACCTTAACACTCATTACCTCATTCAATTCTCACAATAACCTTATAATGCAGTAATTATCATTATTCCTATTTTATAGATGAGAAAATTGAGGCTCAGAAAGATTGAATAATTCACCTAAGGTCATAAAGCAGGTACATAGCAAAAGTGATCCCACTGTCAATCTTTTCTTCTTTCACCACCAAATTGAGCTGTTAAAAACAAATTAAAGAGCCAAAACTGGGGCCTATAAGAAAAAAAGATGACATTCATGTATAAGTTTTAAAACATTTTGGACATTAATTTTAAAACAGCCTACTTCTCTTTTCTTTGGCAGTTGATGCTACCATGAAAAAAAAATAACTTCTAGATAAACTACTACTATACTGTGTTTATTTCCAATTTCAAAAAAACCTATGCTCCAGTAACCAACAATTCAAAACATAATAGTTCAAATTTACAGTAAAATAAAGCTGCCATTTCCAGGGAAACATTTTTTTTTCTTCACAGAGGAGGTAGAAGAGGGTATAGCGGGGATAAATGGTGATGGAAGGAGACTTGACTTGGGGTGGTGAATACACAGTATAATATATAGGTGATGTATTATAGAATTGTACACCTGAAACCTATATAATTTTATTAACCAATGTCACCCCAATAAATTCAATAAATAAACAAATTTTTCTTCAGGTTTGAAGACAAAACAAACTAAAGAATACCTTCATTGAGAGAAAGACAAATATCACATGATCTCACTTATATGTGGAATCTAATGAGCAAAATAGATCCAGAGACATACTAGTAGAAGCATGAGATAGACTGTAGAATCTCAGAGGGAAGGCGGAGGTGGGTGGGTGAGATCAGGTGGGTGGGGGAGGTGGATGGGAAGAGGTCAACCAAAGAACTTGTATGCATATATGCATAACAGACAATATGGGGCAGGGGATGGGGTGTGCTAGAAGGGGTCAATGGAGGAAAATGGGGGACATATGTAATACGTTCAACAATAAAGATTTAATTTTTTTAAAAAAGAATATCTGGCCCTGACCAGTTTGGCTCAGTGGATAGAGCATTGGCCTGCGGACTCAAGGGTCCAGGGCTCGATTCCAGTCAAGGGCATGTACCTTGGTTGCGGGCACATCCCCAGTGGGGGGTGTGCTGGAGGCAGCTGATCGATGTTTCTCTCTCATCGATGTTTCTAACTCTCTATCTCTCTCCCTTCCTCTCTGTAAAAAAGAAAGAAAGAAAGAAAGAAAGAAAGAAAGAAAGAAAGAAAGAAAGAAAGAAAGAAAGAAAGAAAGAAAGAATGAATATGTGTTGAGTCATAGATTTCCTTTTACTTTTCTCTCAACTGCCTCCCCCTACAAAGAAAGTTGCTAGAGAACCTAAAGGGTTAACCTGATCCACCAATCAGTGTCCACAGAGTATTTTACCACCAGCTCAGGCCCTTGCCAAAATCATGCAAACCATGGTTTAGAACAATACTACTGCCATTTTGGGTCAGATAATTCTTTCTTGCGTGGGTAAGGTAAGATATGTTCTGTTCAATGTAGGATGCTTATCAATATTTCTTGGCTGGATGCCAACAGCACCCCACCTTCAACTGTGATAATAAAAAATGTTTCCAGACACTGCCAGATGTCCCTTGGAGGCAAAATCACTCCTGCTTGAGAACCACTGGTTTAGATGTTAGGGCCCTGGGTCTTTAAAAATGGTCTCCAACCAGCCCTGTTAATTACAATTTCATTTTTAAAATTTGGATTTTTAAAAATAAGATGGTAATAGTTCAAGAAGATACTTAAATAATATATATGCCAGCCTCTTTAGATTAAAGCATTTTCAGAGGATTTTGTAACATGGATTTCACATATGTGTATACATTAGTCCTCCCTCTGCTAGTAAAATGTCCAGTTCTCTCCCTCCTCTGCTAGTAAAATGTCAAATACAGTACATACACGCATGCATGAATGCATACATATACAAGAGAACCTAAACAATTCTAATTTACAAATCCCTATTTCTTGCCCTTCATGACCACATTGTGGTTCTTGAGCCATGCATCCCAGAGATTCAAGCTTCCACTCTTCAGATTTCCTGCCATCTATTTGTGAAGCAAACAGGAAATAAGCTGATGACCTTTAAGGTATTTTCCTACCTTAATATCCTAATACTCTCAGGTTTTACTTATTGACAAAAATATTCTTTCAGCTTTTACTTATTGACTCCCAGCTGACAGACCGCCTCTTACGATCACTGAAGCCATTCATGCTTTTTTCTTTCTCCACCGGTATATTAATCTATGCTGAATATAACCAAAAAATATGTCAGTTGTTTAAAGCATCGCTTAATACCAGTGACCAGTTGCTTATTCTGACTCAAATATTTTTAACATGTGAATTTTAAAATAAAAACTTCTCAAGCTATGAGCTGATACCATTTATATGAATGAACCACAGAGGCAAATATTGAGATGAAAACTAGATCAGTAGTTGCTTAGGTCTGGGGTGGAGTGGGGGAGAATGGGGAGTAACTGCTAATGATGAGCAATTTTCTTTTTGGAGTGATGAAATGTTCTAGGATTGATTATGGTGATAGTTGTACACCTTTTAAGCTTTTAAGCTAAAAGCAGGAAAAATTAGTTTATCAATTTTTATTGATAGAAAAAATGTGATTAAGGCAAATTCTGCACATTTGGCCATTTCATGAGTTATAAGATTTTATTTTAATTCTGAAATTATTAAAAACATAATACCTATTCAGAAATAAATTTTAACTTTTCTAGAAAGTCAATATATGCAAATTAATCATCTTTTCCTAGTAAACTTTGGATGATTTGAAAGCAATAAAAAACACTTCAGAAAGCTAAAGGCTAAAGTAACAAAACAAAATATATTAACATGGTCAACAACAAGAGAACATGGACAGTCTTTATAGTTCTGTTGTGATACATTCTTTGTAAAGAAAACCATTCAAATACATTTCATTTCTTTTAAAAGTGATCCTCAGACTACAATGTCTGTCCTGGTGATGTAATAATTCTGAAGTTTCCAGAGCATAATTTAAAAATAGCCAAATCACATTAAATTGCAAACATCTAATCTCCAAAACCACAACTATCAACTACCTCAAATTTGCACATATTGATATTTTTTTGCCCGAACCTATTATGAACAATGATGATCACAATGAACCACCAAGTAATACCTCCTGGTAGGAAAGCGGGACTCTGACTACAATATGAATACAATCAAACACACAAATCCCATTATCCTTCCTGCTCTATCATAAATGCTTAGAAATGACCAAGGCTCTCGAGTACTCTTCCAATTAGAACTCCCCATAAAGTCAACCTGAATGTCCATCAAAAGCTTCACTTTTCACAGTCACACACTTCCCAGTCTGCCATCCCATCATCACTGGCCTTGTAAACATGTACTATGAAGACTGCCCTGGGGTTTGACCAATCAGAAATAGAGCCAATTAAAAAACAACAACACTCCAAACATTTTAACTCTTCGAAAGTAAGGAAAGCCTCAATTAAAAAATAATAATAAATAAAGCTGGTTAAAGGGGAATCTTTTTAAAAAATGCAACCCGGCTGGGCCAAAACTCTAAATATACCATCCTGAACTCGGTCAATTACAGACCAAATGGTCAATTACAATGGGCACGAGCTCCCTCGTCGGCGGCGGGGAGGGCCTGCCCTTGCATCAAATCAGCAGAACTGAAGGACATTAATTATTGAACAAAATACTGCGAGCTAAATTGTCAAACTGCACAACACTGAGTTATCCCGTGGGTGAGCCTTCTCCAGGAAGAAGAATGATTTTTTTTTTATTTAAATTATTCCAGTAGCATCAAAAGGGGGCTATGGGCCCGGTTGTACAAAGAAAGTTTGGGGGCCGCGTCGAAGGAGGGGGTGGGAGCGCCAGAGCCCGGACCCCGGGGCGGCGAGAACGGCGTTGGAGGCCGCCGCGGGGGCTGGAGGGGAGCCGGCTGCCGGCCCGATCCCGGGCGAGCAGGGAGCTTCGGCGCCGGTCCGCCAGGACCGAAACTCCGCCGGCTGGGAGCCGGGGAGGAGGCAGAGGGGGTGGGGTCTGGGTCCCTCTCGCCAGAGGAGGTCGGGCGGGGGGTGGGCCGCGACGCCGGGGCCGAACGGGGCCGGCCGACACCTACCTGCGGTCCCGGGCAGCCGCCCCGAGCGCGGCCTAGTGCATCGCCGCCGCCGCCGGCCCTCGTCGCGCCGAGACTGCTGCTCCGCGGCCGCCGCCGCTCGGAGCCCCGCCGGGCCCGAGCCCGGCTTCCCGCCGCCGCCCCGCGCCGGCTGGCCCGTCCGCCAGGGGAGCCCAGGGCCGCCCTCCGCAGCCCAACTCCGCTCGGGGGTGAGAGGCGGCCGCGGCGGCTCCCTCACGTCTCTCCCGGGTGTCCTGTCAGCCAGCAGTTTCCCCCGGGTCCGCAGCGCCGCCTCCGCCGCTGCTGCCACCGCCTCTCCCACATCCCCGGCCTCCAGGGGAGCCGCCGCCGCGCCGCGACCACCACCCTCAGCGCGGCTGCTCCCGGCTCTCGGCTGCCCCGCTCCCCGCCGACCCGCTCGGCCCGGCTCGGTCGGGGGAGACCGCGCCAGAGGCCGCCGCAGCCCCCAGCCCACAATCCACCGCGCGGCGCCGCCGGGGCGGGAGGGCCGCGGCCCGGCCGTGGGGAGCGCTCGCCGCCTCCCGAGCGGCTACGGCGCTGACGCGGCCCGGGGCCCCCGGAGAGGGAAGTCCCCGCGCGGCGCCCCTGCACCTCCTCGCACGGCCCTGCACGCGGAGGCAGAAACCACGCTGAGCTCTCCGTGCCCCCGCCCGCCCCGCCCGGAGCTGTTCCAGGGGCTCCCAGGGGCCGCCCCCTCCCCACACCCCCACACCCACCGGCTCCCCAAGTCCCGAAATCGCCCGGGACCAGGAAAGCAGAACATTCCACAGCATCCCACCTCTCACCCCCTCAACGTGAACGCTGCTCAGAGTTTCCCTAATAAATATCCTTGGAAAGGTTAAAGGTCACGCCCTCCCCAACCACCCCCTGGACCCTGAAAACCGCCTGGTCTGAGGGGTCGGAGGGGTCGGAGGGGTCGGAGGGGGGGGGGGCGGGGGGGGGACCTCCCCCACCGAGTCCTCCTTTTCCTCCAGGGCAGGCCTCCTGCCCAGGCGCCTGTCACACTCTGGCGCTGAAATCACTTGTTCCCGCTGTTTGACGGAGACGCTCGAAGTGTGTGTGCATTAGTCATACCTCCTCATGGTGATTTTTAACAGTAATCCAATTCAGCCTGGTTTCAGAGGGCTTTCCATCTTTTTATATAGATATATATTTTTTTATTGATTTCAGAGAGGAAGGCAGAGGGTTAGAGAGACAGAAACATCAATGATGAGAGGGAATCATTGCTCGGCTGCCTCCCGCATGCCCCACACTGGGGATCAGCCCACAACCTGGGCATGTGCCCTTGACCGGCATCGAACCCGGACCCTTCCTGAGGTCCACAGGCCAAACCAGCCAGGGCTCAATCTTTTTTTTTTTTTTTTAATATATTTTTATTGATTTCAGAAAGGAAGGGAGAGGGAGAGAAACATCAAGGATGAGAGAAAATCACTGATTGGCGGCCTCCTGCACCGTCCCCCCCCCCCCAACACACACACACACACACACACACACACACACACAAACACACACACACGGGATGGAGCCTGCAACCCGGGTGTGTGCCCTGGAATTGAACCGTGATCTCCTGGTTCAAAGGTCCACACTCAACCACTGAGCCACACCGGCTAGACACAATCTTCATCTAATAAAAGCCAATCTGCAAGAAAGGGAATGTCTTCGAATATTTTTAAAAAGAGGAAAAAGGGCCCGCATTCATTTGAGTACTTAATTTGAGGAAGATTTCTCTCGATTTTGAAACTATTTCTTTGTCTAAAAATATTAAAGTTTCATGCCTTTATAAGACAGTATGTTTTAACAAATCAAAAGTGAAAATGTAACTCTTATAGTTGGTAATTGAAAAAAAAAGTTCATGCAGTTTCATTTCTAGGAAGTCACTTTGAAAACTGCAAACATAACTGAAATATTTTACCCACTAAAGAGCTAAAGTTGGGGGGAAGGGAAGAACATAAGAGAGGGAAAAAAACAAAATTCATTGAAAGGTAATCCTTACATTATTTTTTTCTAAATTCAATTTTTATGTATTGATTTTAGAGAGAGAGGAAGGGAGGGAGGGAGAGGAAGAAGGAGAGAGAGAAAGAAACATCCATTGGTTATTCCACTTACCTATGCACTCATTGGTTGGTTCTTATATGTGCCCTAACCAGTATCAAACCCGAAACACTGGCTCTAGGGAGACTGCTCGAACCAACCAAGCTACCTGGCCAGGGCCTCTCCACAATTTTGTAATAAGGAGAGTGAGACTATCAATTCCCAATATGAAATAAATTTAACTATAAAATAATAAAGAAATCTAAGTCCCTCGTCTCATTTAAAAAAAAAACAGATGAGTTTATATTATGAAAAAATTAAGGAAAGATTCATCAAATTACATCTAAGGCCAGAGAGGAAAATAATTTCACTTTAAGTCTAGAATTAGTTCATAGATTATACTAAGAAATGGATTTAGCAAGTTCCTATATTTTGAACCTGCATCACAAAATCAACAACTGTTCAAATGCTGCCTTAAAACCTGGTAGTTTGACACTGGCCAGGTGGCTCAGTTGGTTGGAGCATTATCCAATCCATCAAAAGGTCATGGGTTCCATTTCTGGTCAGGGCACATACCTACATTTCTGGTTTAATCCCTAGCTGGGTTCTCTTTCCTCTCTCTCTCTTTCCCTTCCTCTCTCTCTAAAATAAATAAAAACATCCACATATCCTCGATTGAAAATTTCAAAAAAAAACACACACCTGGTGGCTTGGCCTTTCAAAAACTGTTTTTTGTTTGTTTGTTTGTTTTCCTTTTTATTGAATTTATTGGGGTGACATTGGTTAATAAAATTATATAGATTTCTGCCCAACTGGTGTGGCTTGGTGGTTGAGCGTTGACCCATGAACCAGGAGGTCATGGTTTGATTCCCAGTCAGGGCACATGATGCCCAGTAGAGAGAGTGCAGGAGGCAGCTGATCAATGATTCTCTCTCATCATTGATGTTTCTGTTTTTCTGTCTCTGTCTCTCCCTCTCCCTCTCCCTTCCTCTCTGAAATCAATAAAAAAGAATATGTATTTTAAAAATTATATAGGGTTCAGGTGTACAATTCTATAATACATCATTTGTGTATTATATTGTGTATTCACCACCCAAGTCACGTCTCCTTCAAAAACTATTTGCATTTATACCCCACCTTATTCCAAAAAAGAATCCAAGTTGCTCTAGTGGGCACTTGCTTTAAACAATAGCCTTGAGGTATCTCATAAACACTAGAACAAGACAGACTGGTTTGCTTTACTTATTATCCAACTGTAGATAACATACCATAGGAAGAAAATGCACATTCGGTATTGTGGTTAGTTCTCTCAGGAATTTAGCATGATATTTACTTTACTTTTCCAAAGAACAAATCATAATCATGAATCTAAACAGAGAAGTAAATGCTGATGATTAGGTGTATCAAAAACAAAATAAAAAACTGTTAATGGACAAGTAATTTAATTTAAACAGATCAATTTCAAATTAATTAATATGTTCATTTGTTATCCCTTGTATTATTTCAGTATTAGAAAGAAAAGTCAAATCACAAATTTGTGTAGATATATTATTAGTATTCATTTCCAGAAAGCACAGATAACAGAAGATTAAGAAAAACTTATAGAAATCATCATTACCCTAAAAAGAAGAAAATAATTAGTTACCACATTATTAACACATATTTAGCATAATATTTCATGCGATAATAATATACTCAGTAGTTGTTGGGAATAGGTAATATACAAGGTTTCCATATATCATCATCTCTTTGTGTCTTCTAAATTAGTTGCTTGATTACTTTGGAAACAATTATTTAACTCTTAAATTTCTCCATTCCATTTCTCTTTGACTGTTATTCTAAATTTCCATTTTGATTTATCATAATAATAACAACCATTTGCTAAGAATTTACTGTGCCCTAAACATAGGGAAAACCAGGTAGTATAGTGCATTAGTTTTCTATTGCTATGTACAAATCACCACAAACTTAGCAGTTTAAAATAACACATTTGTACTGTGTTAGTTTCTGTGAGTCAGGAATCCAGGCATACCTTAGCTTGGTCTTCGGCTCAGGGTCTTATAAGGCTGCAAGCAAAGCATCCATCAGACTCTGTTCTCTCTAGAGACTAAGGAAGAATCTGTCTCCAGGACGACTCAGGTTGTTAGCAGAAATCCTTTCCTTCTGGTTGTAGGACGGACAGCCCTGGCTTCCTGTTGGCCGGAGGCTGCTCCCAGCTCCTAGGGGACACCTGCAGTTGCTTACTAAGTAGGTTTTCTCAAAATGGCTGCTCACTTCATCAAACTCATAAGGAGTGTTCCTAAACTCTCTACAGAGAGTCAGCTAGCAAATTAGAGTGATATTCTATCATTTTTTGCCATGTTCTCTGGTTTAGAAGCAAGTCACAAGGTTTGCTCACGCTCAAGGAGAGGGGGATTGCACAAAGTTGTGAACATCAGAAGATGAGAATCTTGGGGGCTACTCTAGAGTCTCTCTACCACCTACAGTAATTAATTCCACAGGCTTTGGAATTTAACCCTAGGTTGTTGGTTTTTAAATATATTTTTAATTGATTTGAGAGAGAGAGAGAGAGAGAGAGAGAGAGAGAGAGAGAGAGAGAGAGAAACATTGAAGAGGGAATCAAACCAGGGACCCTTCAGTAAATGCTCAACCAACTGAACCACATTGGTCAGGGCAACCCTGGTTTTATTTTAATTCAGCTATGACACTTTAGCAATGTGATTTTGATCTCATTTTCTAATCCTTTGTTTCTTCATCTGCCAAATAAGAGTAATAATCTCTTCACACTTTATTTTTCTCACATGTAAAATGAGGATAATAATAGAGTTGTTGGGATTAAATGAACATTTACTAGTAAATATAGTAACTGATAACAAGAAAAGCTTAAGAAACACTTGTTAGTTTTTTTCCTTCTCTCTCTCCTCTCTTTTTAATTTTGACCTTGGTCTGCAAAAAATCCCCATTGGCATTTCTACCTTCAACTAGTACTTCTCTAGTTTGGAGAGAGAGAGAGAGAGAGAGAGAGAGGAGAGAATTGTTTGTGTGTACCTGTGTCTACTCTAGGGCCATGCAAAACCAACTCTAGTATCAATACCTTGAAAAATAGGACTGTATTGCAAATGTTAATTCCAATTGAAACTAGGCAAAATTAATGAATAACAAATCCATAGCATTAGAAACATAATTATTACACATAGAGGCTTTCAGAGTTTAGAGAACTTTGTTGGATTGAGGTCCTCCCCGCAACCCCCGAATCATGCTTATGCATGTGATACAAAAGGACATACTATTTATGGGTTCTGGGTTTGCATTCTAGCTCTGCCACTTTTTAGCTGGGTAATCTCAGGCATGTTGAGATCTCTACAGTTCAGTTCTCTATGGGGATAAAGATAGTACCCACTTCATAGAGGTATTGTGAAGATAACATTTAAAGTATACTTAAATAGCATAGCTTAGTGCCTAG